TCATTTTTCCGCAGGCAAGTGGTGTCTTTGTGGAACAATCTTGTTGAATTTTCGGAATACAAGAACTGTTGCATACGGAGAAATGCTTCCGTTTTCGCGTCGGGAAAATCGCACCGTGCTGTGGAGGTACCTGCGATTTTACGAATGATTTAACGGGAATGTATTGCCTCCCCCCCCCCTCTCTCTCTCTCTCTCTCTCTCTCTCTCTTTCTTTACCATGCCTTCCAACAATACCTAGAAAACATTCCGGTATGCACGCTGATGCTCTTTAGTTCTTTTAGGTGAAAAGAGAAGGTATTCGCGATGCATCTCGCTCGATCTGTCTTCTCTCTTTATTCCTCTTCATTCCTTCTCTCCTCCCTTCCGCGAATGTTTCGAAGTAGCGGCTTCTCTTCCGTGCATCGTGAAACGGAACACGTATTTTGTTTTAGCCCACCCGTTTGCTTTCGACGAATACATGCGCATAGCGGAAGAACCACGTTCTTCTTTTTCAATTCAAGGGACGCTTTGAGTAAAGACAATACTACTAAACAGTTTTCAAAGGTTCCCGTGCCAAGCAAAAACTCGGGTACAAAACAAGCTGTTTACGAACACACTGCAAAAGCATTAGCCATTCACCTGTCTTTCCTAGTGAGATCTATATATATAGATTTATATTATATATATATTTTTTTTAATACTATATGTCCATAAAGCATAAAAACTAGTTCATATTCCATTTAAACTATAAAGTTTCATTTCAAGCATCCTTCAGGAAACGAGCAAATGGACGTAGCGCGGAAAATGGTTGAGTTTTGTTATCGCTGTGAGCAAATAATTGCCTCTAACCATATTTTTCCACGATGAGATGAAATAAATACATTCGAGGATATAAACATCTATCATGATGCGTAAAAAGTTGGCGAATTAATTTTCCCTTTTGAAGTTACCGTACGTCAGTCAGGATAATAAAATTAAATTTAGATGAAATGGAAAGTAAATATACTGTTATGATTACATTTTGCTCTGCGTAACCCTGTAACGCGTAATATGATGAGCGCGAAAGTACTACAGAAAGAGAGAAAAAAAGAGAATGAACGTGATGAATGGGGAGATTATTATGCTACAAACTATGGTGTATAAGACGATTATTTGTAATGACGAAGCTTTATACAGTCTTGGTGGTTTCTTTCGAACGCCGTTTTTCTAATGTGCGCTTTCCCTTATGGAAATCGTTTCGTTACGCTCATTTAATGGCGAGGTGAAATTGAGCGACTTTCATGTTCCATTGTACGAAAGCGAGCGCGCTTTAATCCGATAAAATAGCTGTAATTTCGAAGAATTGTTCTTCTTCGCAGGCTTTATACGTACGCGAAAGAACAAAAGGTGTGTGAGTAAAGATAATAAAGTAATATTCAACCGAATCACTTAGTGAACTGAATACATTTTCCGAGCCGAATAGATGGACGGTGATTTTATAAAATGGCCGGTATACCTTCACCAGGCACTTCCGCGCGAAATCGCGCGATCTAAACGTTCCAATTCTAATATAGGCTACTTTTGTCGTCCGCCCACGGCACTTATTCTATCGGATAACGCAAGTACTGCCGATACCGATGGATGTCTCGCGAAAAATCGATGCATCCAATTTCATGTGCAAATCATAATATCGAGCGACTTATAGCCAGAGGCGACGCGAGACGATTGTGAGTACGAGGGAATCGCACGATACGCGAATCGTAAGATCTTATCGAATGACTTGAGTGTTTTCATTCAATGTGCAATACTGAATGAACGAAGATGAGATAAAAGCTTAAAGTATTTATAAGCTCCTGAAAAAAGGATGACTTCTGTCCTGTTAGTTATTTCTTATAGGAACGTAGTGCTAGTAAAAAATAGTAAAAGGGACCTCTTATTTTTTTATTTAAATATAAGAAAATAAAATTTGAACAACTATCAGCTTTAAAGTTATGTGAAAAGGAGATTTTTGAAAGGCTTTCAAAAGATCGTGTTCGATTCAGAGTACTATCGTCACTTTTGACAATCTCGTATTCACTCGCCAATCAAAGGCAGATGCGAATTGAGTATTTTACACGGATTTGAACAAAACACGGAATTGTAACGAGCGGTCTTTGACTCAGATGTGCCACGGTTGCAACTCGAGCAAAACCATGTGATTATCTTTGATGTGATGATTCAAACGACCGCGTGTAAATGTTCTTTAGATCGCTGAAAGCCAGTCCAATCGATATTTAACACACGATCTTGTTACCCACATCACGAATGTCCATCAATAACGCGTATTATCTTTCAGTAAATCTATCGTACATTAAATTTCGATGTGTCGTGAGGAATAATCAGCCATAAGCTTACAAGCCGGTAAAGCCTATACTCCTATAAATTTTTAATAGATGAAAACATCAATATGTCTTCCTTGCTGTGAAAAAGCAAGTTTCTTAAATTTTTCATACATAAAATGGATTATTACTTCCGTAAAGGAACACTCGTCATTATAATGATAAGCAGGCTTATACGCACGTGAAAAGAATCAACTCGTTATTCGATCGACGCAAATACCCGGTAAACTCCTATCGTGAATTAATTACTCGTACGAACACGAGTAGAATGCGGCCTATGTAATGAACGGCAACACGAGCATGGTAATTGATCGATTGTAGAGATTTCCGCGTTCGACGACCGAACGACGAAGTCCAGGGCGCGGCTGGCGATCTCTCTTCATCCAGCAACCCTTCTTCTTCCATCTTCGTAAACGCGTCCTTTGTTCGGACCAGTTTACATCGGACCAAAAGCCAAACGCTTCAATGGCGCTGTACATAATTAATGAGAGATTCCTTTCAGCGGCTCAACGAAGGACTTAATTCAGGAGCTAGCGGTGCTTTCATCAGCTGATCGTTTCGGCAAATAGAATCAGACTGCGCTAACTGATTTGACTGACAGAGAATTAGCGATTGCCGGTAAAGCGACGACGCGATATAGATCGTACGACGTGAAACAAGAGTTGCGGATAAACCGGGGACTAAATACATCGGCAAATCATTTGGTATCGCCATTCCCGATTGTGGCGAAAGATTTCTGACTCGTGCATATTTGATACCACACACGACAAGGTATAATTTATTAATATCGAACTAATGAACGTTTCGTGACGGAAGAGTATAAATTCAAAAAGCATGAGAATTTTTAATGACAACGTACAAGAGGTTTTGTGCCGATTCTGTGAACCGATAGGGATAAAACGGTGGCTGATGGATGTGAAAATACTTAAATATTCAATACGAGTAAAAATAGTTCGGACGAGTTGACTGTTAGGATCACAATATCTACCGCAATATGTGCGATGTCTGATGTTTTTCCTACTGTTTCCAAATCTGTAAGCCGCATATGCCACTGATTTATTCTGGGCGTCGGGATATATTTATGAAGTCAGTCAGATTCTATCTGGCGCAGCAACCAAAAACGACCCAAATTTCCCGTGCAATAGCAACGTAGGAAAAATTGATTCTCCGAGTACCGTCGCGCGCGCAAAATGATTGAGGGATATTTTCTTTTCACTCCGCGCAAAAATAATCACGGATGGCAGAGTATTTGATCTGAGTACACGTTATTATCTGACTTGGCCGTTCGCGTACGACATGAACATGATATCACAATAGTGACACTGGCAACGAGGGTTGGCCGTGCACGCAACGACTAATACATGCAATACCGCACGCACGTGATGTAACAGGATGCAGTGCGTGACCGGCAAGCAGGTCGAGCTTGTAATGGGCAGACCGGGACTTGCGAACCAGTGTCGTGTGCCGCCAGTAATTTCGCTCAAAAGGCACGATCCCGTGCTAATGACGCGGAATTCGCCTTTATCTGCGCATCTATACAATCTGAATCCCATACATTCTTCCCGTGATTGCTTATTCATAATTGCAAAAAATTACGACGCATTGATCGTGATGTATCACTTCATGTTTCGTTGAGTCGCGAGTAAACGTGCGTTCCGTTGAGTATAATAATATCAATCGAGAGATATTAAAGCCGTATACTTTCTAAATTATTATTATTTTACGATATAATGAAAAAACTATCAATAGCTACGTTTACTTTTCACTGATTGTAGAACGAGCGGCTGGCTCCTCTCGATTTACGTAAACTTTGCCGTACGAACGTATTATAATCACCGACGCATTGTTCCATGCCGTTTCTCAACTTCCTAATCTAACGCTCTATAAACTTCCATTTTCCATACATAATAACATAATTTGCGCAATAACGGCGGACAAAGCTTTATAGTTATATGCTTAAGTAAAGCGGGTTAAGTAGGGTAATATTATTAACGACGAAGTTTATCATTCTCGCTGATGCCGTGCAGAAATACTTGATGGAAGCTTGCAACTCTAATACTATTCCTCCAGTTTATATAGTTCAAAAGAAAACTTACGAATCACCTAAAGTAACGTGAGCACATCCTAACTAATTGTTTCTCTTATGGCTGATAAGCGCCAACGTTGATTACAGCAAAAACAAGTCTATCTTGAAGCAACAGACGTTCTCTCTCTCTCTCTCCCTCCCTTCCTCCACCCTCCCTCTCTTTCTCTCTCTCTCCGGTGACATGGGCGAACACTTCAAATTCTGTCCGTCACGATCATAGCCATAATAAGATTAGGCTAATTACGTTTATGCACTTAGGAAAAGCGGATCAGCCATACTCTATTCGCGCACGCAGAGCGGTTACGTGGCGAGTGGACTCTACTAATCTTGTTGTTTTGTTTGGTTTAGGATGAATTTGCCATTGTGCTGCGAACCATGCAACGCGTAAGTACATGTTCGCGAATATGCTATTGAATATTAGCCAACGGTAAACAAACGAAACTGTAGAATCGCGAACGGTCGGCTAAACCTCGTGGAGAGCAGTCTCTCACGCCTAAAATTAGATTTGCAAAACTAGAGTCATATTTGGCAAAAGTATTCGCATTTCTTTCCGTGACACTTGGTCACTTGGCACTTACCGCTTCCGTGTGCACGGGATGCGCGGCGAACAGCAGCCCGGCGAGCGCTGCGAATCCCGGCCGAAGGGCAGCTACCACGAGGCTCACTCTGGTGACTAAGATGCACGCAGCGGCGTGTAAGGCGACATTCGTGGCGTGATACCACATGGGACTCAGACCCGCCATCAGGTAGTTTAATCTAAAATTAATCGAGATGGAACGTGTATTAGATACGATATTGACAAGTTACCGTGACGTCGGATGTATCCAAAAATATTCCAGGTCAATGTAGGAAAATTACGCAGTGTTTCAACTAAATGGGGACTGTGGATGAGTCACAGGCAAGAAAGGACGATGTCGTCAATTAATGAATTAGCGAAGAAAAGAAATTGCAACACCGAACTTATATTAAATTAATGAATCTATATATACAGTATGAGTATACATTAAATCTGGTATTATACGCTTCTTTTCTCTTTACCTAACTTATTACATTAATGGAATTCTTGTTATCTACAATCTGCCACTCACTCATAATCCTAATTTGGTTAAAATACTGCATAATTTTCCTACGTTGACCCAGAATATTTTTGGATATTCCAATTCCATAATAAGTCACAAATATAACTGTAGAATTGATTTAGAAAACAAACTGATATGAGATATAAACGACGACTAAATGATTACGTTTTAATTGAAAATCCGCTCATCTACAGAAATAATAAATTTTCTGCAGATTTAAATAAACGTGGACTGATTGTATCATTATACTCTTACATTGTGTGCATCCTGTGAGACAATATCATGTAAGACAATATCCATGAACAAAGCAAAAATTAAAGCGCCTGTATCTTACAAAGCGCAGTTTCTGCATCAAAGAACCTCTCTCTCTGCGACACCTACACAAAATCATTCTTACTTGAGAAAGGGAACAAATTTCATTGTTACCGGATACAAAGAAACGTCGAAAGATAAATCCTGTCATCTTTTTGTTTATAAGCACAACGGATTTCAAACGCGGGCGTGACGTAGTTTCCACGAAAATCCGCTTAAGTCGGCCGAAGTAATCGGATTTTAGAAAACCATTCCGACCGTTTCCTTTTCGCCGCAACTAACCGAGGGATGCCGTTTTCTTTGAGCAGATTAAAGTAACTGATGTCATATATTCGCCCGTTAGCCAAAATAATATCGACTTTTGATACGCGCGCGCGAGAATCGAGACGTCGTCGTCGTCCCGTCGAATATTTTCATTAATTGCTGAGCAGTTGTTCACTGCGAGACAACAGGCGGGACTAAAGAAATGGAACGAGACCGTAGAAAAGTATATCGTCGTGCCGATATCGAGATGAAAACAAACACCGTAGTTGCTGACGCAGTCGAGCTATAATTTTGGAAGCCTGCCGGCGGCATAAGTTCGACGCCCTCAGTGGACCTGCGCTTGGCTCGTTTCCAGGTGTCAAGGATCATAGGTTGTCGGAGGCGTATCCTGTCTCTTCCTTGGCTCTAGATCAAGCAAAGAGCGCGCATACGTCGATCGCAGGATAGGGATCGCAAGATTCCGTCGCGAAATCGGTTGTATCACAAGCTGGCATATGCTTATTTTTTTTTATTATACAGCGAATTAAAACGACGGTGCGAGCTCGTTTCGCGAGACGATCGATTAAAGTTTTATCAGCGACGATCAAGTTCCGCTTAAAAACCAACATACAGAGATACCGCACTTCCGGTATTTATATCCACTTACTAACAAAGTTTATTGTTTCTCTGCTGCACGGTTTGCAAGTTTCTGATATACGCAACGGTTCGAAGTACAGAGTATGAGGGCTGTATGCTTAGGAGCTTCTTGTTTGTTCTAACTGGTTTCTCCAAGCACAGCGGCGTGCGCCTGCATTCCTGTTACAGAATGAAGTACATCGTATTGCAGCGTCGATATTACGTTATCACACTTGGATGTTAAACAGATATTGACATAGTCTGGCTCCAATTAAACGATTAAATAAACAAAAACAATTACGTCGGTTAGCCTTTCTTCGGTGTACGTATGTAAACCGACAAATTATTTGATAAACAACAAAGTTAAGTATTTTAACAGCTGGTACCTGTCTTCGATCTGAAAAACACGGAGATTAATCGCCCTACATTACAAACGTCTCTATTTCCAGCCTCATTCTTCTTCACTCTTTGCGTATAATCATTTATATTTTTCCCCTGAAGAATTCTGTAACGCAATTTGTCTTCGTCGGCGCAACTTTCTACTCTACGCGAATTTCTCCTCTCATATCTTTTATTCATGTCATCATTGAAGCTCGCTCAGACGCAGAGAAGAGAAGTCTGAAAATAATTACAGACTCTCTTTGTCTATGTGCAAACAATGAAAATTATTAACTTCGATGTCTGCTTTTAAAATATTTCATGCAATAAGATATATATGTAATATTATATTAGTCGTAGTAGACAAATAATCGCACACACGTACACAAACTCTATTATTAATAAAATAACTGAAACTAAAACGACGCTCTATTATTAATAAAATAACGTATATGAAATTTTCACCGTGACTTTTTAATTATCGATGTGCAAATAATAAAATATCGAAATTTTTCCTAATCAAACGCACGAAAAAAAATTAAAAAGTTTATTTAAGGCAGATAATTTTCTTCCAAAGTAGGAAATTTATTTGCCTAATTTTCAGATGAGTAATTATACATTTAATCAATTTGACATTGAACATTCAATCGGCTTTATTCTTATATGATATTGAAAAGATATGATAAAAAACTTTAATTTCGTCATTTCTGTGCTAAAATGCCCTCTTAATTATTCTAAATAAATCATATTATTATCGTATGCAACTTTAATTTTGTTATAATAATTAATATATTCTAACTAAATATTCTTGTATTGTAGATATTAAATACACCTGGCTGTACAATAGATATGCGGATATGCAATATAAATTTTTTATGTCATTTTTGTAATATTTGTTAAAAGCGTGAGAAGTACAAAACAACTTTGTACACAAAAAACAGAAAACATTGCGAGTTTATTCCAAAAATAAAAAGACAAAAAGTTATTTTTTCAAAGACATATTTTATAATTGAATTATATATATATATATAAATAGACATTGAAATACATTTATGTGTATACATATATATATATATATATGTATTTTTTAACTGAAATAACACTGGAGGTACAACTATCAAAAGTTTCAAAACAGAAGCATAGTATGACGAAGTAGAACAGTTGCTCGTATCAGACCGCAGCGGGACCTGATACTAACTGTCTGACCGCAGGTACGCTCTTACTACTGGCTAACCACGACCGGTTCTATTACGACTGTTTGACCACATCGGCCCGTAACTACTGGCCAGCCGCAGAGCGCGATCAATACTTATCCCCGCCGTTCCGTCATTATCACTTTTGCGTTTGTGTTTTGGAACGAAACGAACAGCTCTCGCACTAGCTAAATGAAGGGCTTTAATCACGGAAACGTCTCTGAAATCGGACACTCCTTCCCTTGGAATAACGCGTCCCTCGCGGAGACGTCATCTCGCGCATAGAGATTCTTGTTGCACGAGTCGCGCGGCGAAGATCACTATCCTGAAAAGAAAATCTTGGCGAAGTTCCGGCACGTAATTAACTAATGAAGTTTAGCTCGTCGCTGTAAAGATGAATCGCCCGGTGAGCTTTTCGAGGAAATGTTGGGCCTCAAAGGATCCCTCTAAAGACGTCGCGCATCGCAAAAAGTCGAAAGATCGGACTCTTCGTAACGAGGTATTAAAATCTTGAACGATGTCGTTAAATCACGTTGGCTTAGTTTACCTCTCACTACATCGCCGTGGAGACCGACCGTTTCATCTTTTCGTCTCGTTAGTATCCTCATCCGCTTTCACGCAAGAGAGGCACGCGGAATATACCTCACCGCCCGTATATCTCGAAAAGTTCTATCGTTATTAAACCTACATGGAAATATGTCAGCGCAAAAAGAAAGGTGAAAATAGGATATTTATCAATTGGCAGCCACAGTTATTTTTATGCAGTACGAAGTGTATTTTAAAACTCCTCTTTCGCGTTTCTTAAAATAGAAAATTCCTTTAACTTTTTATGAAATGTCGAGGCAATGCACGTGGAAATATTTTCGCGCGATTTTCTCTGAAAGTCACGCACGTATTTCGAGTCTCGTTTCCTTTTCGATGGCGATATTGGGTTCCAACTTTGTGGGGGACTATCGTTTGCAGCCACAAGACAAAGGCACGATGATAGAGCATCGTAGGAATGCCATTCGGGCTCAATCGTGCGCGGAATATAGCAGCCGAGATACCGATTTCGACTCTCCAGTGCCGCTTCAGTGATTTAAGGGACTAGCTAACCCGTACTTCCAGTCACGTTCTCCCCGGGAAAGTGTCCAACGAAATAAATCACGAGCACGTCGGGACTTCGATCTTTGTTGCGCGCGCGAAGAAATTTGGACACGTTAGGTGGCATCGATCGATATTCCTGAGATACTGCCCATCTAAGACCGTGCTTTATGTTACAGTGCTTTTACGTTAAACGAGTACGCTTATATTCTTTTCTTTATATTTTCTATTGTTCATCTTCTAATGAACGTGAGATACGTTTCATATCATTTTCTTCCCCATCTCATTTTCTATTCTAACTTTCCAAATAGAATTGCAACTATCGAATGGCGATCTGAAAGATTAAGATTAGATATTGGCAAGAGATTGTCACTGACAATCAATTATCTCCTGTAGGTTTTCATCGACCTCCTGTTTCTTCCCTTTTTCATTCCTGTACAAGCGATCTGCTTACACACAGTCGCGCAGTCAGATCTGATAATAACATGAATTACGAGCGCTTATACGCCTTGAGTGGTGCAATATATCAACGGACGTGCCTCATTTCTTTTCCAGATTGTATATTGGAAAATATGGTGTGTTCACGTCGAACGTGATGAAGGACTTTTTGAGAAAGATCATACAGCAGGTACATGGCTAATATCTTGTAATTATTAAGCCGCACATCCCTATCTAGATTGCGTCGCAAAATTACACTATTGATCGTGACTCTAGGTGACGGTGGGTTTATATATATATGTATACAATATATAAACCTACATGCAAACAAATATGTACACAGATATGCTAAATTATTGCATACGAGTGTATAAAACTCAATTCGCATTTTTAC